CACGACTGATCCATTTAGAATAATCATAAATCTGCCTTGTTGTTGTTGTTATTATTATTATTATTATGTCGCAGAAGGGTATGACGGGATAGATGTGTTCTCATGTGCAGATTAATACGCATAAAAGACCACATTTCTCGATTAACTTCAAAACAACTTCTGTTCAAGGAACCAGTCCAAAATTATGCAAATTAGGTCTCTACGAATCATTAAGTCTATATTGTGGATGAATATTTTTATTTATTACTTTAACAAAAAACAAAAAGCAAAAGAAAAGGCACCTTGAACGTGCTCTGTGCTCCATGAAAAGTATAAAAGATTGGAAAAAAAACGTTTTTCCTGCAAGCTGACTTGTCACTCTTTTCCGACTCTCCTTTTTTGTATATGCATCGTTTCTCCTCCTCATCTGCTGGGATGGAACTAACATTCCGAGACACATCGGCTGAAAAAAAGCAACTAGAACCAAACCCTATACTGTATTTCCTGTGCATGCCTATGATTAATCTTATTCTAAAACGTAGATACAAGACATTGCTAACAATAATGAATAATAAAATAGAACGGTTATATCAATATGGTGAATTAAAAGTTATGTGACAGATACAAGATTCGTTCTTGTAGATCTTATTAGGCTCAATAAGAGATTGACAACAATAACTAATAATAAAATAGATCTATTATAACAATAGACTGTAATAAAACTTATGTGAATGATAGAATATTCGTTCTTACCGTAGATCTTATTAGACATAATAAGACATGAACATCAATAACTCATAATAAAATAGAAAAATTATAACAATAGTCTATATTAAAAGTTAAGTGATTGATAGATTCTGTCTTACCGTAGATCTTAGCAACCCCTGTGTACGATATCTTTTTTTATTTCCTTATTAATTGCAGAAATTACATGTTTTTAATTTAAATTAGCAGTTTACAGCTTCTCTTTTGCATCTATTGTGCTTTGAGATCATTATTATTATTAGAACTTATCAAATTTTATTTCGGGGCGTTGTACACAGTTAAGTGTCAGACGCCATTTTGCCAGACTGCCGCTCAGTTGCTATTTGTAATTAAACGGGGAAAATGGGGGATTATTGTCGAGAGGGTTCAGCCTCTAATACCATCAGCATCGGCTCTGATATCGTGGACCGACCTAATAAAATAAGAGGCATTACTCTCAATGACTGCCATAGACAAATCGATGCATCAAATAATGAAGGCTGACCGACTTTTACACGAATATAAGCCTGGCATTTGTTTTTGCTTTCTTCTTCTTTTTTTTTTTTTGTAAGCTTTCACTCTTTCTTTTTCTCTCCCTACTCTCCTCTTTCTCTCTCTATTTCTCTGTCCTTCTCTCTTTTTCTTTTATAAAAGCTGGACATAAAAACTAACAAAATCACAAACGTGCCATTTCTTTTTCTTTTACAGTTTCTTTGGTTTTCTTTTTTTATTCATTTCTGGACATTTTTATTCTCTCCCTTTATCTTTTCCTTTTCTTTTCTCTCTCTCTCTCTCTCTTTCTCTTTCTCTCTCCTCTCTCTTTTCTCTCTCCCCACTCTCTCTCTCTCAATCTCTCTCTCTCTCTCTCACTCTCTCTTTTTCTCTCTCTCTCTCTCTTTCTCTTTCTCTCACTCTCTCTCTTTCTCTCTCTCCCACTCTCTCTCTCTCTCAATCTCTCTCTCTTTCTCTCTCTCTCTCTCTTTCTCTTTCTCTCACTCTCTCTCTCTTTCTCTCTCTCCCACTCTCTCTCTCTCAATCTCTCTCTCTTTCTCTCTCTCGCTCTCTCTTTCTCTCTCTCACTCTCTCTCTTTCTCTCTCTTTCTCACTCTCTCTCTCTTTCTCTCTCTCTCACTATCTCTCTCTCTCTCTCTGTCTTTATCCATCTCCCTTTTTCTTTTGTAAAAGCTACGTATGAAAGTAACAAAATCATAAACTTAGCAGTTTTTTAACATTTTTTTGTTTCTTTCTTTCTTATTCAATTCTGTACTTTTTCTTTCCTCTACCACTATCTTTTCCATTTTCTTTTCTTTTCTCCCCCCCTCTCTCTCTATCTCACTCTCTCTCTCTCTCTCTCTCTCTCTCTCTCTCTCTCTTTTATTTTCTCTTTCTCGGTTTCTTTTTTAAAACCTGAACATAAAACTATGAACTTCCATTAACAAATGCGAAAAACATTTCTTTCTTTCTTTCTTTCTTTCTTTCTTTCTTTCTTTCTTTCTTTCTTTCTTTCTTTTTCACTTCTTCCCTTTTTCTTTTCTCCCTCTCTTTCAGATTTCCATTCTCTCCCGCTTTCTTTTTTAAAAAAACGATGCATGAAAAGGCGAACTTTAACGAACAAATAAACGAACCATTTATTTTTATTCATTTGTTCTTTTTTACTTCTTTATTTCACCATCACCCCGGCTTTCTTTCCCTTTCTCTCTCTCTCTCTCTCTCTCTCTCTCTCTCTCTCTCTTCTCTCTCTCTTCTTTCTCTTCTCTCTTCTTTTTTTTTTTTTTAAAGCATGCAATGTTTGAAACTTCCCACCCAACTCATAAAGCTTCTACTTTTCTTTCTTTCTTTCTTTCTTTCTTTCTTTCTTTTTTCTTTCTTTCTTTCTCCCTAGAGTTCTCACTCGTACTCTCTCTTTTTATCTTATAAGGAAACCTTCGGTACTCATTGACCGAGTAGCCACTGCAATTGTCAGTTGAAATTTATAAAATATTTCTCTTAAAACAATTTTTCAGGAAAATAGCTTTCTCATGTCCAGTAGCTGTTATCACCCTTTTCAGTATTGATTCTTCCGGATGGTAAAGACACCGACAGGTTCACCCCTAGTCCTACTCCCGACTTTCGTTCATTTGTGTGTCTTAGCTGTTCTCTCCTCCATCTGTGCGTCCCCTCCATCTCTCTCTTTCTCACTCTACACGTGCAAGCGTATGCTGGAGGTGGGGTAGTGAATCTTTACCTCCAAAAATACTCCAATAAAAATCTACATAGTCGTTCGGTCGTGTAAAGAGACGCCAACAGAAACGTTCATGTAAATAGGACTTAAATATATAATCACTTATATATAGTTAGTTTGCTTAACAGCCTATCAACAATTTATGGGTCATTTAATGCCAAAATTTAATTTTCTTGGGAGAAAGTAATAATAAGTTGTGTAACCTTGCTTTTACAATTTAATACAAAAAATGGATTGCTAATAACTCTTTTTTTAAATATGAAAACGTATTACTAGTATTTTTACTATAAAAATGTATTTTTATACCTTCATAGTGTTCCAATTTTAGTTTAGGGTTCATTATTTGCTCAAAGTTGGGACCCAAAAAACTGCTATCAGATCGGGGTTAGGTTAGACCTGGGAACAACAGCAATTAAAAGGTTGTTCCGCGCTCCTCAAAACCTCCCGGCCAGAGGCCTTGCTGCCGGATACAGTTTATCGTCATACCCAGGACGCATCAATTTACGAATCGTTGTATAGACATGTATATATATATATATTTTAGCTGATTTTAGTTACAGTTTCTGGGCGAGAGCGCATAATCTAGCGTGGGTCAAATGTTTGAACAAGGCGTCATATCTAATAAAATCCTCGACGAACAATTCTGCCTAGCCAATTTCATCCACAAGGCTTGGGTCAACCCATGGCATTTTCGGACACTTTTCAGCGATGTCACACGCTGAGATCGCCACACCAGTTCAATAACATCATGTCACATTCCTGACACATCTACCATGATAAAATTTGAACTCAGACCTAATGATTAGAAAACAAATGTTCTAATCACTATATACAGGGTGATTGATAAGTAATTCCCTACTTTATGTATGATGGACTCTCCCGTCTAACTACAATTTCTACAAGACAGGAGAGTCCATCATACATAAAATAGGGAGTTACTTTTCAATCACCCTGTATATATATATAATGTTTATGTTGGCCACACTACGACCACATTGTCTCGGCGGTTGAGTTTTCATCTGAATGATGTGTCCTACATTTCTAAACATTTACAACATCATACTTGATCACATACGCAATTCAGAAAAATTCTTGTTGAAAATACATCTGTACGTTTTCATGAAAATAATAAACATAAAGTAAAAATCCTTGAAGCTCTCTATATTAACAAATTGAAACCCAGCCTTAATAGAATTAATTATGAATACTGCACAAATGTTTTAAAATGTTTACAGTAGATAGTTTAAAATATCGAGGTTCGCACTAATAGATTTTAATACTTAGTTTTTTAAAATTCACAACAACCTTATAACTCAATTACCTTCCTCCCCTGAAGCGTTATTCAAGCTATGTCACAGCACTCAACTTAGCATTCTTCACTTTACAAGTAAAAAATAAAATTAACTTTCAGATGAACACATCAATTTTGTTTTGAAAATGATGAACACTGCAATATCTGTCTATATTTCTGAGATGAGGTATCATGTACACTATTTACATTATTCGAACTAATGTCCTCATCTTTGTCGCCATATTTATCACAACGCCATATTTATCACAACGTTTCGGCCGTTGTACGCTCCGGCCTTCTTCAGGTGGTTGGAATTTCGAACTGAACCCTTTATTTCGCTCACAACCTTTAAAAGCTTGACGACACTTCGCAGATATCTCTCCCGAGTAAGACCCCCCCCATAGAGGAGAACATGACTAAAGACTGTATGTACGCTATCCCGTGCAGCTGCGGAAAGGAATATAAAGGAGAGACAGGCCGCCCCCTCAAGGTAAGGCTTCAAGAACACCAGAAAGCTGTAACACGAGGGGAAGCAGAAAAATCAGGCGTGGCTGATCACATATGGAGAGAAAAGGGAGATCACCGCCCTCTGTGGGATCATGTTGAGATCATAGACAAAAAAGAACACCATTGGAAAATTCGTAAACTTAAGGAATCAGCACATATGCTGGGCCAAAAGATCTCCTGAGCCGACCAAGCATAGAAATAAATACAATATGGGAACCAGTAATAAGTAGTGCCAGAGAAAAGCAATGATAACAACAAAGTTACAATATGAGCTCTGGTAAAAACATGAAATGATAACAGCAAAATTGCAATATGAGCACTGGTAAAATGGTTGCTGAAGACATTAGGTTTATAATACCCAGAAATTCGTACCCAGATTTCCTCAAGGACACATGGCACAGTGGATCAAGGTGTTGGTTAGATCCAGTAACAGGACCCAAAGAGTGTGAGTTCAATACCCGGTTAAGGCAGTGTGTTAAGGCAGTAGAGAACTTTCAGAGGGAAATTAGCAGGAGATAACTGATAACTGACATCCATCAAAAACATGGCACGTGGAACTAGAACAGTCTAGCGAAGTAAAGGGTTCAGTTCGAAATTCCAACCACCTGAAGAAGGCCGGAGCGTACAACGGCTGAACGTATGTTACAGTAAGCGAAGTTCTATTTCCCTCTTTAAGGAAAGTACATCCTATTCAACCAGATTATTTTCCTCAAGAGTCCATATCTGCCAAGTTTCCTATATTTAGAAAATGCATTGTTTAACCTTTTTATTCATCCATCTCTCTTCATCTTCCTCTTCTCTTTCTACTACTTCGCTTTTCTGCTTATCATTGTTACTATTATTATTGTCCTCTTTCTTAACCTGATTTGTTCTTCTGCTTCTCTCCCTCATCCTTCTTCGCCTTCTTCTTCTTATTATTATTATTATTATTATTATTATTATTATCTCCTTTTTCTTACTGTGACTTGTTCTTCTCCATCCATTTCCTCTTCTTCTTTTTTCTTCTTCTTCTTCTTCTTCTTTTTTCTTCTTCTTCTTCTTCTTCTTCTTATTATTATTATTATTATTATTATTATTATTATCTCCTTTTTCTTACTGTGACTTGTTCTTTTCCATCCATTTCCTCTTCTTCTTTTTTCTTCTTCTTCTTCTTCTTCTTCTTCTTCTTTTTTCTTCTTCTTCTTCTTCTTCTTCTTCTTATTATTATTATTATTATTATTATTATTATTATCTCCTTTTTCTTACTGTGACTTGTTCTTTTCCATCCATTTCCTCTTCTTCTTTTTTCTTCTTCTTCTTCTTCTTCTTATTATTATTATTATTATTATTATTATTATTATTATCTTCTCTTTCTTATCCTGTTTTGTTCTCATCCTCTTCCTCCTCCGCCTTATTCTTCTTCTTCTGCTTATTATTATGTCCTCTTTCTTATGCTAACTTGTTCTTCTGCTTCTCCTTCTCCTTCTTTCTTCTTTATCTTCTTCTTCTTATTATTATTATTAGTAGTAGTAGTAGTAGTAGTAGTAGTAGTAGTGGTAGTAGTAGTAGTATGTCCTCTTTCTTATCCTGTCTTGTTCTACTCTTCCTCCTCCACTTTATTCTTCCTTCTTCTTCTTAGTGTTATCATTATGACCTCTTTCTTAACCTTACATGTCCTTCTGCATCTCTTCCTCCTCCGCCTTCTTCTCCTCCTCCTTCTTCTTCTTCTTCTTCTTATTATTATTATTATTCCCTCTTTCTTATCCTTATTTGTCCTTCTGCTTCTCCTCCTTTCGCCTTCTTTTTCTACTTCTTCTTCTTCTTGATATTATTATTATTATTTCCTTTTTCTTACTTTGATTCGTTCTCCTTCTCATGCCGCTTCTTCTTTTTCTTTCATTCTAACTTTTGTTCGTTCAATTCTTATTCTTCATTTTTATTTTCCTGTACTTTTACACTTATTTTTTCATTCATATTTATTCTTCTACTTCCTCATCCCATTTTTTGTTCGCTTTATTACCCTGGCTTTGTTTGATCTTCTTCTTCTTCTTCTTCTTCTTCTTCTTCTTCTTCTTCTTCTTCTTCTTCTTCTTCATTTCTTTTCCTTTTTTTTCTGTCTTTCCACCGTGACTCTCTCATCCATCTATTTTTCGTCTCTATTATTTCCGAGTAATTTTTACTCTCATCTTTTCATCCAACCCCCTCCTCACCTTTCTTTCTTCTTCACATTTTTAATCCTTAATCTTAACATTACTTCTTCTTCTTCTTCTTCTTCTTCTTCTTCTTCCACGACTACTACTACTACTACTACTACTGCTACTCCAACTACTTTCCCTTCTCCTCTACTTCAACATAACAAATACTGAATACTATCCGGTCACTTAAGACATATTTTCATCCATCCGATTACACACTCCAATCCTCCTCTCGTTGCGTTGTGTTCAGATTAAAAACAGAAAAGCTTCCCGATAATATTTTTCAACTTAAAAGCATTGATTGAATCTGCATTTTGTTTTCTGGGTTACAAAGATTTGGCACGTTTTACCACTTGAATAAAACAGCGTTACCAACACAGCACCATAGCGATAACCTCTTCGGTGTAGGTGCACCTTAACTAAGTGTGTTTTCCCTACTCTTTCTTTTCTTAGTTCGTGCAAAAAATTGTCCAGCGTTTCTTTGGCAGGCTCTTTTGTTTATATGAATTCGCACAATTCGTATCCAGCTGAGGACATGTGGTTTGCAGAATGGCTGCCTTTCGCAGAAAATGGCATTGCAAGCC